CCCTGGATCTGAGTCCTTTTCAGTGTCATATTCTGCACTGAATTCAATAAATTTGAGTATGAAGGATATTCGTTCGCATCGTGACACTGACTTTTTAACCGCAATTCTGCGAAAATTAATACAGTATAAATAGATAAGATATGCATGGTCATTTCTAAGTGCACACAATATGAGCTGGAATGACCGACTCATGCAGTTGTCGAATCAACTGATGGATTCGTCCGATGAGGAAATCGATGTCATCATAAGTACGGCAGCCCAAAAAGCCGTACGCCAAGCCGCAGGCTCACGGTCATGGAGCGGGTCTCATCGCGGTCGTCAGCCAAACATTGATCGAAACCGGACTGGTGGGCACCAGCAGATTATCGACGACTATTTTGGAGAGAACGGGAAACCATCTACGTACACAGAAGGACAGTTCCGCCGCCAGTTTCGTATGAATCGAGCACTCTTTATTCGAATCATGGATACCGTGGCTGCTGCGGATACATACCTTGTCCAAAAACCAGACGCATTCGGAAAGTTAGGTAAGTATAGCATGACATATAAATATAATTTAAAGATAATATAGGTCTGTCACCATTACAGAAGTGCACTGCGTCGATTCGTATGCTGGCGTATGGCGTCTGCGCTGACTCGACCGACGAGTACTGTCGCCTTGGTGAATCAACAGCCATTGAATCCATGAAGCGCTTTGCAAGGGCTGTCGTCTCAGAGTTCGGCCCCATGTACCTGCGCGAGCCGAATGAAGAGTATGTCGAAAAGCATCTCAACCTGAACGAAAGTCGTGGGTTCCTTGGGATGTTTGGTTCTATCGATTGCACCCACTGGGAGTGGAAAAACTGCCCTGTTGCCTGGCAAGGCCAATATCAAGACCGCAACGGGAAGCGATCTATGATATTGGAAGCGGTTGCGACGCAAGCTCTGTGGATTTGGCATGCGTTTCTGGGGGTTCCAGGGTCTAACAACGAAATTAACGTTTTGGACCGTTCGATGCTGATGGTGAAACTGGCTAAACTTGCAACTTCCAGTGATGGATTTTAGGTAAGTACATTTTAGCCCTATATTTTTGGTTGCTTTACTTGTACAAATAAATACATATTTTGTCTCTAATTTTTACAAATAAATACATATTGTGTCTCTAATATTTTGTCTTGCATTAATAGTACAATTTTGTGTATTAGGTCAATGGGATTTCGTTCGACGTGTTTTATCTCTTGGCCGATGGAATTTATCCATCACACTCGACGTTTCAGAAAAGTCTGAGTAGTCCTTCAACGGAGAAAGAAAAGTACTATTGTGAACGACATGAAAGTGTTGGAAAGGATGTCGAACGTTGTTTTGGGGTCGTGTTTGGACGGTTTCACATTCTGGCCAATCCCAGCCAATTGTGGGCGTGACCACATGAGCGTCGTGTGGCTTGCTTGCATGTGTTTGCACAACATGATCATCGAGGACGACAACACCATGGAGCACCACCCCAATGCATCGGAATGGAATAACGACCTGGAGCGCCGTCGACCACAGCAGCCATTGTCCTTCGACGGTTATTTGCATCAACGTTCAGCCATGGTCGACTCCGATACACATGATCTCCTGCGTCAAAGCATCTTCGAACATTTGTGGACAGTGCATGGTAACATGTAGAAAAGAACCCTGTTAAACATTGCAATTACGAAATCAATTATCAACTTACTAGAATAGTTGAAGAGAAAAAATCGACTTTAAACATTGCAATTAGCAAATCAATTATCAATGTACTAGATTTGTTGAAGACATTTCTAGTTTGATTGCGAATCAGCCGATTTTTGCATACGACTAGCAGCACGCAATTCGAGCTCTGCAATTACCTCAGCTTGCTGTAGCTCTAAAAATCGAAGGGCCATAGGCGTCAGGTTTTCCGTCGGTGTTGTGTACAATTGGAGATTCGCAACGATGGATTGCGCATTTGCTTTGCGATCAATTGCAGCAGCGGGCCCACCCATGTCAACACTTGCTTGAGGCATGTCCACTGTACTCAAAACGTTTGCGCTTCGCTGCCTTCGCTCCTTGCGGACGGCCTTCCGAAGATTCCAAATTTACTGTCGAAGACAAAAATTTGGAGCCGTCCAAATTATTGTATTCGCCAGTCAATTTAGAATGCTTGGTTGATTTCTTGATGCCGAAGCCGTTTTCCCGATACGCTTCCCATTTTGGCTTGTCGCGCAGGACTCGCCAACACCCCATGTACTTGAAATTGCGTCCACTGCCCGTCTTGGAAGTGGTGGTCTTGAAGTAGAGTGCCCTTGCCGCATCTTCGACGTCGTCGATGTTCGTTCCACTTGCTTGAAGGTCTTGTACTTGGGTGTAGCACCCGGTGAACTTGTTGACAGCATGCTTGATGTCTGCAAACTTTGATTCGAGGGCCCTTACCATGCGTTGCGGACGGCCTTCTGGCTTGATCTCGTTGAAACTATGGGTTATGTGTCTTAGAATGTTGTCGAGGTTTGGCCACTACCCTTGATCGGATCGTCAGACGCTGCTACCCATTCCTTGGACAGTAACTCGTTCTCCATGTCGTTCATCCACAACGACATCGTCGTCCAGCAATTAAAAAGTATTTTGTGTAGACTATTTTGTATACCATACAAATGTCTGGTTATTAGATTAATTCGGCGTAAAACCTCGACTCGGAGTTTTTAGTGAAAACTCCGTGTGGAATGGTCAAAACTCAGGGCCCAGGGTTCTGAAACTCAGTTTCAGTGTCGAATTCAGTGTTAGGGTGGGGGTAAATTCAGGGTCAAAATATCATCGACACTGAGTATTATTCAGTTTCAGGGTCAAATTCCGTGTACGGTGGAGATGCTCTAAGTCCAAAATTCGTCCTCACTAAGGTTATCCGTATAAATCAGACCTCAAGTCTGACAAGTGGAGATGCTCTATCTCTATAAACAATACCCTTGTATAAATTATATGAAACTGTTGTAACCGATTACCCTAACACAGAATTTCAATGTTCCGACACATACATACTTTAAGATAAAAACAGTTATCCCAATTTGTTTATCAAAATGTGAGTACAAATGATAATTCGATTATGAAGTGAAAGCAGCGGGTCTTGTCTATTGGAAGCACTGCTCAAAACTCAAATATCGTAGCGGACTCAAAAGTTATGTCCATTCTTACTCCGACACCTCCAAAAAAGTTATCTTTTTACGTTACTGTTAATGTTTAGATTAAGGGGGTGGTTATGGAATGGTCACGGGATATTTCTGTATATTTATGTCCATATAAGAGATTGGTCGCGGAAATAGCTAACGTTATGTCGATGAAATGAATGCAAGAAGTACAGGGGGATAGCTACGTGCTTATTGGTGCTACGCTGTGCCCTTATGTAAGATTTAGCTACTGAGATGTGACTACACTAGCTAGTAAAACTCTAACACGATTACCTTCGCAAAGATATAGGGCCCGCGGCTTGTTTTTCTTGTTTTACGTTAGCTACAGTAACATGATGGAGTGATATTACACTTACTGGGCCGCTTGAATATGAAGCAACAACCGAGTAATGCCCACTAAGTAAAACTCCACCACACCATTTAACCACGAGTGAAGCCCCATGTCTACCTCTACCTGAACATCCATGAGCAAAACCTCAAAACACCACAAGTGAAAAACTGCCTCCCCTACAGTACGTAGCGATTCACCGTTGGTACGATTAACGGTGTCCAAGTGTTGTATGCCTTCGTGTTTCACGTTAACGATAGGATGTACTTATCGTAGCAAGCAATTAGTCCCACCCAGTTACTCAGGGACGTTTTAGGTCAATAGTACCAAATTCCCTGAGTGAGTGGGTTTTGACCAATTGGGTGGGTGTGTCACCCACTCACTCGGGGAATTGGTCCGTTTCAAATACAGTACTGTATGGCTGTGTGATTTGGAAGTTACGTTCTAAATGTCACACTACTACATACCGGTAACTGTATGCCTTGCTTGACACGATTCTGCATTACACGACACCTACTCATACGATTTAATCACATTTTATTCTACCCCAACATCACTATGGACCCATTCACTGTTGTAAACTGACTTCGACAGGACTTTGACACAGTACATGTACTGTATGAGTCATAGCCAGGACACTACATGTGCGGTAATTGCTGCATTGGCTAAAATATTCGTTGGCACTACAGTACATTTGCTGATATGTGATCGCTTACAATACACTTGTCCCAAGGACTCGCATGCGTAGTTGCCCCCCCACTTATGACGACGACAACTAAACATACTAGTACTACAGTAGTCACCTTCGATGAAAAGCAGCGTGAAGTCAACAAGCAGCTTCATGTCCGAGAAGCGTTGACGGTTGCCGTCATTGCCTTCGTTCCATGGGCTTGGGTCCAGCGCGAACCACTAAACCCACAAGAATACAGAAACTCTGCACACAAAGAGTAGGGAATCACAGATAAAGAATGGGGAACCATATGAAACTGTAGCGTTACAAAAACTATATAAGGTAATTGTAACGATTCAAATACAGTACTACACAAACTTATTTGTTCCGCGGCATGGCATGCGGCCAACCTGCCGCTTTTCGCGACGAGAGGAATCGATATGACATTCGGTGAAGTGCACGATTGGGGCTCACTCCTCGCCATTTTGTGGGCGGTTGCTCTGTCATCGCTCGCTACTAGAAGCTAGGTCAATTCCCTTGTGTTTTGCCGCATGTGTCTCTCCCCGATTTCTTGATATGATTCCCTAATCCTTGTGTGCACAGACATTTGACTCAAACACAACGTGGACGGCATAATCGCTTCGCCTCGCTTCTTCTTCGCCGGTACCACATCCGATTCGGGTGTATCTGCATCCCGCTTTGCCCCTTCGCGATCGGCGTTGTTCCAACTCACTGTCCTGCAATTCTCGCGGAAGCAGCCAACGTCGCCTCGATATCTTGGACCCGGTCCATGAGAGGCTTGATTTGCTCGGTGAGGACTTTTATCATGTCAATCTGCTGCTCAGCAAAACTGCTTATGGTAGACATCGATGCCGTTTAACCTGCTCGGACCTTGCTATTGCGCAGCAGTGTTCCCCACACGACGAACGGTTCGATGTCGACTCCAACTTGCTTGACCACCGTTTCGATTTGTGACATGTGGCGCTAACGCACACAATGCCTTGAGCATAGGGTAGGACTGTATAAGCTACTACTCTGGTCCGAAATAGCTGTCATGTTAGACTTCAAAATGAAGTTTTTTATCGTACACACACGCGTTTTCGAATCTGATTGGTGCAAATGAAAGCTGAGGATCTCCTCTTTGATTGGCTACTAAAAGCAGCGCTAAATTTTCTGTCTTGATGAAGCTGCACCACTTGAAAAATGGCATATTGACCCGCCAGAATCAAATCTCAACTTGATCTTTCAAATGTCATTGATGCCCTGTCAAAGCGCTGTCGCATCTATTGCGCTACGTTTGACTTCAAACATGTTCAACAGTCCCCAAGCACCATATATGGCCTTAGCGCCTTCGTTAGACCTCCGTCAACAACGCACCCGCGCTCAAGGATGCACAGTTGTGTCCATTATATCAAGCAACGACACTGTATTCCGCGTATTGCGGTGTGTGCAGTCCTTGCAGTGTCGGAATCTTTCTACGTCCTTCACTTGGTTTATGTGACATTCCAGATTTCAGTATGAATATACAATCATGGTCTATATAGTTATATACCATACTACAACTAAGTTTAAATGTGTATCATACTATATCTAGCTTCATACTTAATCCAAGTCTATACAATCTGCACCATGGAAAATATGCAACTTGACAGCTATTATGGACCAGGGTAGTACACCATAAGCAGAGTAACGACTTTGTTGTTGATGTTGTACTTTTGTCTTTCATTCCAATGCAAGACGGAAAAGGTACAGCTTGCATCCGTGCAAACTCTTTGTTTGTTGCAGGATCGAAAATCTCAAACGCCGGAGCCGCCCCAGCCGACCATCATCTCAAAACGGGGGCAACCTTCTGGTCTTCGTTGGACGTATTGAAAACGTAAGCAAACGCCTTGTTTGTTGCTGTCATGTTTCAGCTGCCGCGGTCAACGATCCATTGCGGCGCCAACTCCGACGAACCGTTAGAAAACTGGGTTCCTCCTCGGCGGAAGGAATGGGATGTCAAATCAGCTACCTCTTGGCAGATGCGGTAAAGCAGCCGGTTGATGTGTGGACTTCGTGCAGAGTAGCACTGACACCTTCATGGTAGCCGCTGCATCTACGGGCTGCACCCCGATGATCGCTCCGAGTGGTTGGTTGAGCAAGTCAATCAAGGGGATCGACGACATCGTTTCAGCTTGTACTGGCGCCTGAAATGACGGTAAGTTGCCAATGAGGGTGGTATGTCGCGTTGATTGCATCACCACAGCAGCAACCATTGCGGAAAGAGCATCGTAATAAAACGACAAACCTTGTTCAGCCGACGTTTTCATTCGCATCAAAACGCACGATTAGTACGCCAGCAGCGCTGACCGTGAGATTTACCTACTGGAGTGACGACAGGTCCGACGCACGGGCAAACAGGTATCATAACATGCACAACAGTGCAGCATCCTGGTTGTCGGTAGCATTCTTTGCGGTTGAGTATTGGTAGACCATGAGAGTCCGAAGGTGGTCCTTGATGCACGCCGGGGTCTTCTTGACAAACCTGCCCGAGTTGCGCTTCATGTAGTACCGGTCGAGGGTTGAACCCATTTTCAGAGTTTGGCAGAGACGGCAACGCTCAGTTGGTAGAGTTCAATCAGCCACAGATTGACGTGGTGGTAGTACGACATGACTGTGTTCCAAACGATCTCCCATCCTTGGTGTCGACGAATGCCAAATGCAACCGAAACTTGTCAAGCACACGTGTAATTGCAACGCCAGTAGGGTCAAGAGCAAAATGAGCATGAATGTATTTCATTGTTACATTCTTGTATGTGACAAAGCGCGTAAACGACTTGATCGCTGTGGCCTTCGCCTTGGTCGAACCATTCTGCATGGGGATCCAAGAGTTTGTGTGGAAGGCACAAACTCTTGGATCCCCATGCAGAATGATTATGTGATTGCTACCAAATGTCCGAACGCAGTATTATATGCCGGAAAATATGTGTTAATGCTAACGTAACGATTACAAATTTTCATATTTCCTGATCCACTCGGACAAAATCTGTCCGAACTGGTCCGATCGTATCCAAGCAATTACGTATTCCTTGATTGGCTTCAATGTTTTTCGACAAAATATGTCCCCGTTAAGTCCAATACAAATTTCAAGCATGTCCGACTGAAATTGTCTGAAGTGTATCCGCAAAGCGATCATATTCACCCATGTTTCTATCTATAATATAGCGAATATATTTTAGGTCTCTTCATATTTGTATACAATATAAAAATTTCTCTTAAAATACCAAATCAACAACATTACTACACCATTTTTCGTTTATGCTCAGGTTATTTCCGGTATACTTCGTCCAACGCACAACTGATTCACGCCATATGCGTTATGTTCGCCAAGCATTCGCCCAGACCCTACTTCGTTGCATTATTAGGGGGTTTCAATGCTGAAAATGGAGAATGACCAATGGAATTACACACTTTTTTCAGGTATTCCTTTGGCTAAAATGTTTTACTTCTTCCACCGTTGGCATTCATTCTCCATTACCGAAAACTGGCGATGGAGAATGGTGATGGGCACTGGAGTTTTGGTATAAAAAATGGGAGTGAAAAAAAAAAATGTATTTGCCTTATTGTGAGCATGTAAGCGGACAGAACACAGCGCCGCAGCCTACATACTATCTACGGTCTAGAAACTGCACCAGAGCATCATACAATCAACGGAGTCCATGCGCTAGTCGTGGCTTCACGACGACAAGCGCCTGGACTATGTCGTAGCTAACGTGCGCAACCTGAACGTCCGACTTGCGCCAGCGACGTCTGCTATCGTGGCAATCCAGACTCATCCTCTGTTTTCGCTCCCGTCGTTATCCAGACAGGAACCTCTTGCGGAGGCCGAATTAAATTGCAAACTACGAATTACTTTTTCTGGTCTATTTTAAGCCTAATCATTTCGTCCAATGAAAATGCGTCAACAATGCACATCTTTCAACCGCACGACGAATGGCGGCCTGCTGCACATAATGGAGATTAACCGCCTTACCGAGTATGAGACCATGAGCCGACCTCTAAAAAGGCTCATAGGTCTTTCTGCAGCGCCATGCAGAACACTTTCCCCTAAAGGGAGTGTCCGAGGGTCTTCTCGAGTTCCGCGGCATTTTCCTTCTACATGATCTTCGTGTTGGTGAACCCAGCGGCGGAAAACGATGGGGATGTCTTCATAGAGAGCGTGCTCAGGCTCCCATGAAGCTTCGTCTTCACGAGGCCAAACCAGTAGACGAGGGCTTGGTACTCACGTTTTGGCGGACCTCGCCGAGCTTGGCTACGTGGAACCCTTCATTGCCAAAGGCAATATGGTCGGCCAGGTCTTCGTACACATCGAGGCCGCCTTCGCAAGATATCTTGAGTCGGCAGGCGCGGTGGAGGGATAAGTCGTAAGGCTGCACCAACTGCTGGGTCTCCATGACATAGTCAGTCACGACCTGGACGATCTTGCTTGGGCGGCGCCAGTGCAGGGACAACTTGTTGCCTTGGCGTGACACTTGGCCAACGAGGACGAAGTCGCCGATCGCAAACTTCTGCAACTGGACGGCCTTGGACTTGGCTTGTCGGTCGCGGGCTTGGCGTCGCTTTTTGGCGCTTGTTACAGCCACTTCGCGGTGCAGCTGTTCCATCGCTTCATGCAGCTCGTCCATGTGCTTCTTTCGCGTGGAGTCGAGCCGGTCGATGTCGGCGACTTCCTTGGTTACGGTGTTGACAAACGCTGACAGGGGTGTCGTCGCACGTAGGCCAGTAAAGGCAGTAACCGGGGCCATACCTCTAAGTCTGTCGCTTGGTGTCGTCGCAGGTAGGTCAGTAAATGCGGTCACCGGGGCCATGCCTCTTAGTCGGTCGCTTGGCATGTGGTTCAAGGCGCCTTGTACCAGGGCCAGGATGAGGTGCCAGTCGGTCGCGCGCAGCTTCAACTCGCTGGTAAGCGTCTTGACGGCTCGGAGAATCAGTCGGTTGACTACTTCAACGGTTCCATTCACCCAAGGACAGTAGGCGGTCGTGAAGTGGTGGTGGGCGCCGGCGGCCTTGCGGATCTTGTCGATGCCTTCGTTCCTGAAGTGGGAGCCGCTGTCGGAGACCCAGGTATGGACATACCCATAAGTTGTGAACCAGTCGAGGAGGCCATTGGCGGTAGCCGCGGCGTCGCTTGTCTCGCTGGACCAAAGTCGCACGAACCCGCTCATGTAGTCCTTGATAACGAGGATCTTCTGCCACCCGTTCGTCGCCGTGGGCATGGATAGCCAGTCGAAGTGGATCCGCTCTTGGGGCTTCTCGGCGTAGAGCGCCGATCCAAGCGGGGGCGGGACCACTGAGCCGTCGACACTGAGGCAGTGGATACAGGCTTGGACAAAGGTCTTGACATCGGCTTCGAGGGTGCTCCAGGCGAAGACATCGCGGACGGCTTGGTCGTGGCTTCGATTCGACGATGGCCCGAAACCACGAAACCCCGAAACCCCGGTGGAAAAGAAATACGGTGTCTCAAACGTTTCTAACGTTAAGGGTCAAGTACGCAAGATGTGGCGCGTAGCGGAAGGAGACTTTTCGTCAGTCGAGTCACTCTTTAGTGAGCTCAAGACGATTAAGAACGCTGTGAATTTCCACACACAAAAGTACCTTCAACGTGATGTTGTTACCGAGGAATTAGTAATACTCACGGTTTTGGGGGTTTTGCCCTCGGAATATTACGGTGACCAGATTGTGCTGGATGCATCTACATTCCGATTGGCTGAAGTTGAGGCCAAATTAACTACGATCTTCGGATCGAAGTCGAAGAAAGAAATATTGGGTCTCGGCCAATCAAATGGCACGAAGAAAGTCGAAGTGAACCAAGTGTCCGGAAAGAAGCGAAAATCCGGATACGAAGTTAAACCGAACAATGGAGAGTGTTTTTACTGCTTCGGCAAGTTTAACACAAATGGGGTCTCGCACTATAAGGCAGACTGCCCTGAAAAGAAAGTGGACTTTGCAACAAAAGGGTATCGTTCGAACATCAACGAACCTTTTAAGCCGTTTAAGAAACAACGAAAAGAGTTTAAGGTTGACGTGGTGGAAGCCTACGCTGGTTATGTAGCAAGAGAGAAACTTACTTAGCTCTCGTACTGCATTTGCAATGTCAGGTCTAGTACCTCGTACTAGGTACTGCAGTGAACCAACTAACCCTCGATAGTCGTATGGTTGCTTTGCAATCTCATCTTGCGTCATGATAGCTTCAGCTACTAAGTCGACTCCCACTACTTGGGGTGTCGAGACTGCTGTGGAATCTTGCATGCCAAATTTGGCAAGTAGATCGTGAATATACTTCGTTTGCGACAATGACATAGTTTTGTCGACACGATTTCTTTTAACTTCCATTTTCAGAATGTAATGAAGGTCACCAAGATCCTGCATTTTGAATCGCTTGTTCAATTCCACTTGGAGATTCTTTACAAGTTGTGCATTCCGTGACACAATCGTAAGGTCATCGACGTAGACGACAACTATAAGCCAATCATCATTACTATCTCCCACTTTTTGAACATACAAGCAGTACTCTTTATTGCATCGTTCAAAACCAATTGACGTCAAAAACTTGTGGGAGTAGGTTGTACCAAATCCTTGGCGCCTGCTTCAGTCCATAGATACTTTTCACCAGCTGGTAAACCTTATGCGGATTCTCAGAAAGTACATAACCAGGTGCCTGGCGCATGTAGAGAATCAAGTCTGCAGGCATGTCGCCATTGAGAAATGCCGTGTGAACGTCCATTTGCTTGATAATGCAATCAAAAATCACTCCCACTGCAAGCATTAATCGGAGTGATTCAAACCGTGCTACAGGGGCATACACATCATCACAGTCAATTCCAAATGTTTGGTGACAACCTTGTGCAACTAATCGCGCTTTAAAACGATCGAGTTGTCCATCCGCATGATATTTTACCGTAAATACCCAGTGACATGGAATCGCAGTGCGACCCGGTGGCAACGAGGTGATTTTCCACGTCCCATTATCAATCAATGATGTGTACTCCGCATTCATAGCGTTTTGCCACTCTCGCCGATGAGGACCGGAGAGGGCTGCCTTTACTGAGCGAGGAGTCAGAATCGTATCCGGAATCGGATGAGACTGGACGATGTTACTCACATTCCCAGCATTGGTACTATTGCTAGTAGTTTGGCTCATACGACGACGAACATCAATACTAGTACTAGTACCACGTAATCCTCCAACAAGTAGATTCAGAACATTATCAACAGCCATGGAATGCAAACGAGGATGCGTCTTCAAATGCGTGACGCGCTCTAGTTCTTTGTCACACGCATGACCACAGGATACATGTCCACATGCATAGTCGTTGAGACTAGAAGGACGTTTTGGAATCCGCTTTGGACGTAAATTAGGTACATTGGTGTTTTCTGCGGGATTGTCCAAATCCTGTGAAGTTGAGTTGACAGAGCGTTTGCGCTTTACGCCAGCTCCCACTATTACTGGTGCTTGCCGCTTCTCATCATGTGTAGTTTGATCAACCACGTCTAGTTGATGCTCACCTAACCCGTCGGTCAGAGCGCTACTT